CCAAATGAGACTGACCAAATCTTTTTCATATCTTGCTGGAAACAGCTTTGGCCATGTTGATCCATATTTTTATGAAATGCAGGGTTAGGCGCTTCATCTTGTTTCTATAGGAATATGCAGTGAAAAGGCCCCAGTACAAGATGTAGCAGTCCTTCTGCTTTGCAAAACATTGCCATAAAAACATCACCTTGGTTCTTGGTAGTGAAAGGAAAGATGATTCATTTCTAAGGGTGATACCTGAGCACTTGGAAGACCTAGGTTCCATTCTCTGTGCCTCAGTTGCCCATCAGTAAGAAGGGGCAAGAGAGGGCTTTCACCTATTGTTGAAATAGGGCCATGAAAGTATTGAGATAAAGCCTTGGCCTAAATTGTGGTGCAAATCTGCAATTCTATTCCCTACAATACTCTCTTAACTGAAGGAAACTACCAAGAAAGCTAAATAAAAAAGAATTGTGGATCTAATCCTTAGGTACCCTGCATCTTATATAGTCATCGGAACACTACAGAGAGACTGCAGACTAGACCAACATTACAGCTGCTAAAATGTTTTTTATTGAAATTATTTTTGGATGGAAAAATAAGGGTTTGATTGCATCACTTAAATGAAGTATTGTGAAAAGTCTTTCTGATTCTGCTGTAAATTTCAAATTGTTGATAAAACGTCCAAAGTCAAAATATTCTGGCCAGAAATTCACACGGGTAACTGCTGTTATACGCAACCTCTCACCAAGAATGAAGGTAGTTAACTTTGTTAGTGTGAAATCAGACAGAAGACAGGGCAAGGTGGCACCTTAGGATGCCTATACACGTGCTCAGGGTGGGGGTGGGGGTGGGGAGGCATTTTAATTAGAGTGATTCTCGGGCTCTTTGTACACTGAAGGCAGCTGCTGCCGCTGCCACTGTAGCAGCACCAGCTCCAGTGTCAGTAGCTCTATAGCACACAAGCCCTGGGAGCCATACCTGATGCCCCATTCACTCCCTGCCATCTCAGCTATGCTACTCAGTACAGGGTTGTACCTGCTATGACAAAGACTCTCCAGGGACCGTAGGAGGAGTAGCATTCTGTTCACCCCACTTGTCCCCCAGATACACTGGCTGGTGCCCCACTCATCCCCTTCTAGTAACACTGAAGAGCATGAGCCATAAACAAGCATTCAAGTATCACATCACCCTTCTGCAGGACTGAGACAGAAGCAGACACGACTGAGCTAAATATCAGATGGAACAAAATCTTGTTAAATAGGGTCATTATCACCTGTGAAGTGCAGGGGTTAGGGGTATCAGGACGATTATAATGGGCCATTAAGTCTTTGCCTGTGTTAAATCCCTGGTGGTTAGTGTCCAATAGGCTGATGAATTTCTGTTCACACACTCACCTTGTAAACATTTTGGGGGGAATTACCTTGAGCACTAGAACTACAAGGTCAGAAGGAGAGTGATTTTCCTATGAAAAATGTTGTCTTACTACCTGAGTTCTAATGTCTCTGTCCTTTATCTTTTCTTGGTGGTTATTAATTTTGCTGCACAGTTTTTGTCTCGTTTCACCCATATAGTTTCCATGAGGGCAGTGGATGAGGTATTCCACATTTTGGGATAAGCATATGTCTGATCCATGGATTCTGATGGTTTTGTAGTGGAGAGTGTTGATTGTTGTGGCAGCAGAGATCTACTGACAGATTTTGCATTTATTGTTGATTCTTAAAGATATAAAGTAATTTTCAGTGGGCACATTTACATATGCATTAATGTGCTGTAATTATGGCACATTAAGTTTAGTACCTGTAATAAAAGGTACTAACTTAATGTACCATAATTGGCACTACTGCACATTAGCATTGGCTCATGTCTTTTGGGTGATACTAACGCTCAGTAGACTAATTCTACTGCACTTTAGTGCGTTAGCATGGCTTTTACATGGCTTTAGTCTACTGTACTTCTGGCATCTTGTGTAGATGCACCCAGTAGCAATAAAAAAATTGGGATGCAGAGATGATTTGGTAAACTAAGGGCATGTCTACATGAGATGCTACTGTGCAGTAGTTACTGCACATTTATTTAGTACTTGTATAATCAAGTACTAAATGAATGTGTAGAAACTGGAGTTATTGTACAGAAGCACCAGTGAACACCTTTTAAGTGACACTGCTGTGCAGTACCCTAATAATACTGCTCAGTAGCTTTTTAGGACTGTTGGTGCTGAGACACGCTACTGCGCAGATTATTCTGCTACTGTGCAGTCAGCGCCTCATTTAAATGCACTCAAGTATGTGCTTTCTGCCTGATTTAGTTTGAGAAAGCAAAAGGATATCCAGGAGGAATTTTAGGAGATACATAAGGCTGTACAAAGGGAGGGATATCCAAAGAGGAAGAGAGACAGCAGCATAGAAACAGAAAATGAGAGTACGTAAGTTATCAGGAATGTAAAAGCAAATGAAGGAGCCTGGGTCCAATAACAAATCCTTGGGGAACAAGAACAAAATGAGAAATTAGAGAACATAGTAGTGTACTTAAGGGGAGGTGACCAAGACAGATGCCACAAGGGCTGCCTTAATTTGGGGAGGGAGGCGGAACAAAAAAAACTATGACTGCAATGGTGGCTGATCTCGCCACTGTGTTCAGCACTGTTGCAGCTACCCCAGAGGCCGCACAGTTGCCCAGGGCATGGGACTGACCTGCTATACCCCTGAGATGACAGATCTACACAGCCCATGGGCAGATCTAGACTTTTCAAAAGGGGAGTGCAGTTGGCAAGGTGCGTCCTCACATATAAAATAACACATTTTTCTCCAGTTAAAAATAAACCTGAAGCTTTACTAATATGCTAGGGGCCTAGGGCTGTATTATTCATTTTAAGATTGAAGCAAAAATGAATATAACTTCATTGGAATGAATTAAAAACAATCTATAGGCCTAGGCAACTGGTAGGGGAAGTACGGGGGGGCATATGCCCCCCCTGACAGGGCTGTCCCCGCCACCACCAACCGTATCTGTAGGTGCTCACCAGCCTTGTCGATGCTGCCACTGCCACCGCTGCTGGCTTCTGTAGGTGACCCACCCAGACTCAGGAGGCACCAGTTGCCTATGCCTATAGGACTGTGAAATAGGCCTATTTGATGCATTTTGGGAACATGGGCCTTATGCCCACAAAGCAACGGTTAGCTTTCCTTGTAATTACCTGCCGCACAAAAGTCTGTGGGGGAAGGGGTCATGGGAGGAAGGGAGTGAGGCTGGGGCTGGCACTGGGCAGGGATTGGGCTCGGGGCCGGGGTCCACTGCACCCATGCAACTGCCCCTTCCCCCACATCAGGGGTCATTACCCGGTGCCGGCATCCACTGTCCCCCAGCCCTGCACTGGCCCTGGCTGTCTTCCTGCACCAGAACCGGTTTGGCTGGCTGTGGCACCATGCCGGAGGAGATGGAGCCCCTGGAACTCCTGCCCCACCCTGTCTAAGTCATCTCTGGAAAGTGCCTGATGGATCCTGCAGAGTCATGGTGCTGGGGAGGCAAGGCCCCCCTCCCCCTCCAATCATTGCGCGGGGCAAGGGCAGGCTGCAGCTGCGAAGTGAGCTGGGCTCTGCCTGCTCTGTGCCTTGCTGCAGCCTTTGAAAGCAACGCGCCACCATGCATGTCCCTCGACTGGCCAGGCCAAGCCAGGCAGCAAGGCACATGGCACTGTGCCATGCTGCTTTCAAAGGCTACAGCAAGGTGCGGAGCAAGCAGAGCCCAAATTGCCTTGCAGCTGCAGCCTGTCCTTGCCCCATGCAAAGATTGGATGGGGGCATATGCCCCCCTTGGCTCCCCAGCACCACAACTCTGCAGGGACCACTGGGTTCCGTTTGGCCCACGACCCAGCCTAGCCAAGCTCCATTCACCATGAACGGGGCCGTGACCAGGCTGGGTCATGGGGCAATCAGAGCCCTGCGGCTCATCCAGGGCTGCAGTGCACTGGGGCCAAGGGGTTGGGGGAACATGCCGCCGCACCCCCAGCTCCCCTGCAGTGCGCACAGCGGCAGGAGTCGCCAGGCTCCATTTGCGTCGTGACCCAGCCCAGCTGGGGCCCCATTCTCCGTGAATCAATCCCCACAGTGCACCACAGAGTAGGGCAGGGGTAGGGGCAGGGACAAATGATTTGCCCCTGCCCCTGCCCCTACTCCGCACCCTTCTGCACTGTGGGAGTCTTGATCTCCTCACCCAAGTAGAAACCTTATCTACCTGCCTCTGCCTGCTGTGCTGGGCCACTGTTCCCCCTGCTGCAGCAGCCTGCAGGCAGGTTGCCCAGCGGCAAACCCGGAAGCATCACCTACGCTTCTCTCAGTGGGGGCACGGCCAATCTCGGTGGGTGCACATGCACCACCTACTCATTGCCAATGCAACATGGCTGCCTTACAGCAGCCCCAAACACATGACGAGAAGCAGGCCCAAGATGTGGGCTGCTGGCAGCCCAGCTCAGCTTCCCAATTGGGCAGATGCTGAGTGAGGGGACAGGGCCTGCTCCTCGCAGGTGGGCCTGGGGGCAGCCCCGTGCGTGCCTTCAGAGCCAACCAGGCAGCAGAGCCGTGGGAAGTTGGCACCAGGGTTGAATTACTGGGGAACTGGGGGGAAGGGGCTGAGCCCCACATAAGAGATGAGAGCCCCCCTGTAACACTGTAACCTGGGAGAAGGGTCTCCAATTATATTAGGGCATGGTGATGGGCAGCCCAATTTTTTTTGCAGACCCCCGGGCAGTCCAACGGCAATGGGAACGCGGGCTGGCTGGGGTGCAAGAGCCAAGGGCGGCGAGGCCCGGGCGGGGCGTTTGATGCCCCCACAACTCCGCACTTCGGTCATCTCCGTGCGCACTCGGAGACTCCCGCGCCCGCGTTTCGGCTTTCTCCGTGCACCTTCGGGCCCCTCCGCCTGGCGCGCGGCGCGGCCCGGCCCAAGCGCTTCGTGAGGCCTTCGGGCGTTTCCGCCTTCGGCAGCGCTCGGGCGTTTCCGGCAGCGCTCGGGCGTTTCCGCGCGGGGCCGCGGCGCGCTCGGCGCTTGCTCCCTGGCTGGCGCTCCTCAGTCGGCCGCTGCCTGCCTGTCGCCGGGCTGGGAGAGCCCGTGTGTGTGAGTGACGCGGCGGAGGTGTAGTTTGACGCGGTGTGTTACGTGGGGGAGAGAATAAAACTGCGGCGAGATCCGAGGCGCGAACGAAAGCAGTGACGGAGCCGCGCGGAGCCGGTAAGGGGAGGACGAGCCCGGCCGAGGGGGGGGCGCCGCCGGCGGGGACCCGGCGCCAG